ATATATATATGTAGGTGTGTATGTGTAAATATAAATAATTCAATAATTTTATATTAAGTATTATAAAAGTTTATTTATTATAAAAGTATTTTTTGTTGCAAAATAAATATTATTATGAGTCAATTGAAAAATTAGTCATTTTTTACTAAAATTATATATTTGGAATAGCAATTAATTCTATGAAAAGACTATATAAATTAATATATTACATATAAATGTAGGGTAAATAATCCAAACATCAAGTTGAGAAAAGCGTAAACAGAAAAAAGGTCAAAAAAATAATAATAACCTTTATAAACTTTATTTCCATTATCAAAGCTTTAATCTCAAGTAATTAAATAATATAATTTACATCAATTTTTAGCTATACATGGTAAGATAATTTTGTGCAATAATATGCATAACATAAAACTTGTGCTAAAAATAGTTTTTTTGGCTAAGTACTGCAGTGCAGTACAAAGATGAAACAAGGTCGTGAACAATAAATACGACCTTGGGCAACTTTTGTAAAACTTAATATTCGTTACGATCAATAAAGCTAAATATAAGATATTCGCACTAAGTAATTCAATTTTAAAATTAAAAACTTTAAGGTTACTTACCCTTATCGGTCATCTTTTCCATTACAGTTTTCTATTCAATAGTTCAAAAAATTAAGTAGATTAAAACAATAATATTCTCAGACTAGACAAACGAGTTCGGCGGTCATAAAAAATTTGATCACTGTGTCATTAACTCACAATATTTCACAGTAGAACAACCACCATTAACAACTTAATCGATCACATAGTTAACAATTCAATTTTAAATATTGAGGCAAAAAGTTTATGAAAAAAATGTATATGAAATAGTCACTTGACGACTAGCCAATAATTTGATTTAAGGGGTTCTACAGTTTACATTTAGAGAGATAATGAGAAAACCACCCGGTGTGGTAGATTGAGTAAGCGGTGTAAGGGTTGTAAAATAACAGTGCAGCAAACATAATATACAGGCGTATAAATTATGGCAGTATGAACTTTAAACAAATATAAAAAGCAGAGAATCCAATATAAAAAAAGTGAATTTTAACTGTTATATAAAATTATTTATGTGATCATAATCATTAATTATTAATATATATATATATATATTACCCTCTAGAATTGTCACCAAAAATTAAAATTTCATATTTTACCAAGAATTGTTTAGCGTAATTTCTATAATACATTTGTAAACATTAGTATAAATAAAACTTTATTAATAAATAATTCCAAAATTAATCAATAATACAAAAAAAATTACTGTAGAATAATTTTGATTTACATTTATTCTTTGATGTATCATGTACTACTCAATTGAATTCGAAATTTTATTTCTTTATAACGTATCAAGATTCGTTCATGATTTAATACATGCATTAAGTCAAAACTAAAAAAAGATTATAGTTGATTTCTTCTCACTAATCTTTTTTTTTACTTTTTGGGCAGCAAATATTTGTTTGTTAGCTGTGGTAATGTTTTCATATTTCCTTTTATTTTTTTTTAACAAATATAAAAGTTGTTTCTTAAAATGTATCAATTTAAAATACCCTAGACTATGGATCTTATTAATAAAAATACTACTTAAGAAAAATTTTTTATTTTATTTTAACACGAAATATGTTTGTAGAGACCCCCAATGTAAAATATCATGATTTAAATTTTAAGCAATTGCAAACAATCAAATTCTCATTTAAATCAGCTGTTAATTATTTGTCAAAATTAAGTGATTTATTACTTACCATTCAATCAATGTATTCTTTATACTCATAACTAAACCACTGATAGTTAGTTTATGTTTATAAATACATTAGTTATCATGTTATGATATATCATAAAATAACAAAATTCAATATTTCATTAAATTTATGGCATAGCCAGAACTTCATAATAAAAAGGGGTTCATAGAAAAAAAATCTACAAAATTTTATATTTTGGACCACATATTTCTTTTTCTGCTCATCACCATCTTTTACAAATGAATATTGCTGTCAATAGGGGATAATCCTCCAGGCTACACCACTGTATTTTATTAAATTATTAAACATCATGTTTAAATAAATTATATCACATTTATGAAGTATCTTTTGTTAATCAGTTATCTTTTTTATTTATATTTACAAATATTTATTCTTAAGTATTAACTCAATAATTATAAAAATTTTAATTTAACTAAGCAATTTCAAATTTAAACATGATATAAGAAAATTATTTTGCTTCTTTTTCAATTACAATTCATAAAATAGAAAATTTTTTTCAACATAATTTTATCATATAATATATAACATAATTTTACATATTATGTATAATAGTCTTTTGAAATACATAAATCTAATAAAATATTAAAAAAAAAAATACTTAAATCAAAATTACTTAATATATCATTTAAAATTATTAGTATCACAATAATATTTTAAATTATACAAATATTATTTTATGTAAAACCTAGCTTGAGAAAATAAATAATGAACCATATTTAACTCAAATCTTGAACTCCTAAAAGTTCTTCAGTAGAATAAGCAAAATTATAGCTGAAACAATAGATTCAGTAAAATAATACATTATATAAAATTATAGTTTGATAAAGAAATTTATACACTTTAATATATCTAATTTGTCACAGAGCATTATACAAAAAAAACCCAGTACAGTTGGAACACGCCAACATAGTTGGTAACCAGTATAAAGAGGACCATTGTAGATAGAAATCTGACTGATCTAACCTTCATTAGTAGATAATAATTTCAGAATTTAATCATTTTAATTAGAATTTAGTAATTGTAATTTATCAAAGCCATTAATATACCAATATGATTTAAAAATATATTTAGCTATAGCAGAAACATTTGTTTTTTTTTTTTAAACAAAATGCTAAAGCTTCCCTTTAACATCCTTATTTTTTGTACACTAGTACATAAAAATCCTCCCTGAAATATTTACATTTAACAATACTTAAGCCTTATTATTACTTATTTTTTCTGATAGGGGCTTTTTTTTTTTATTAAATTGGGGGTACCACCCCTTATTATATTTTTACTGTTTGTACTAAAGTATAAACAGTAGAAAAAAATAATTAATGTAGAAAATAATAAAAATAAAAAAATCATCTATTTTTACAAAAAATAGCACTTTTTGTTTAACTTTAGGGGCTGTTTATACATTAAAATTAAGTTGTGGAATCAAATTTTTTTTTATAACTTGTAGTATAATACATAGGTATTAATCAATTATATGTTTGTAAAATGCAGGATTTTTGATACACTATTAATAACTCACCGAACAAAAGGATTGATTTGAGCAGCATTTGTGATTTTCATTTGTAATGAAGCTAACATTTTAGTATCCATTTCCATTCTAATGTCAGAGGGTCCTGTCCAATTAATAGGTTTTGGTATCACAAACTCTGCAGCTAACACAGGCTCTTCTTCTTCTAATGCCTATTTAGAAATAAAAATATTTTTATGATTATAAGTTTAAAATTAATAATAATTTTAAATCTTTTACTTTCTTAAGTGCAGGAGTAGGGAAGGTAGTTATGTCAGTTTCAATACAACCAAACTGTTGACGACTTATAATTTCTTTATTAAAATTATCCTAAAAAAGAATAATTATCAAAATAATACATAATACATTTTACAACATATATTTACTTGTAAAGCATCTAATCTTTTTTTTAACTGTTTCCATTGCAAATTATTATCAATTAATTGTTTAGCAGAAACATTTTGATCTGGTATTATTTTTCTTCCTGGAACTCTTTTAGTAACATCCACAACACTTATGTTCTTTAATGTCTTTTGGAAATCCTGTAAAATTGTTATTTATAAATATATAAAAATGTAAAAATATAAATTATTTTCATGAAAGTTTATGAAGTTTAAAGATCTGTTCTTACATACATTTAAAATATCATTTCCTTCTTTTCTTAACTTCATAATACGTTCTTTTTCTTCTTCGGATGGTTTATCAGGTACCTTAAAAATAACATTAGAATACAATTAACTCACAAAGCAGGTACTATTATCATGAATCAACAAGTAAAATAACAAGCTAATAAAATAAAAACTTGTCCTGAGGCTAAACAAATTATATCATTACTACCACGATACATACTGGCAATGGTTTCAATTGTGAAAATAGTTTTTTACAGTAATTATCTTCAAGGTTAGCCCTTTGATTTATTTCATGTTTTAAAGCCATTTTAGTCAATTTCAATTCGTTCATTAAAAATGGAGATTCTTGATATGACTTATTATCATTTCCCATATTGGTAACTGTGAAAATATATGTTTTCTATAATTTTTATATTGTAAAAATGTTTTCTATGTTTAAAAAATAAATTTATATATATAATAGTAAATCATATAAAAAAAAATATATTTACTAGAAGCAGATTTACTAATACCATCAATAAGCATTTTTTTAGAATAGTTTTTAAGTTTATTTTTAAGTTCCCCTTTTTCGATTTCTAACGAATCAATGTCAGCTTGTAAGTGATCCATTGTTTCTTCATATTCTTTAGATTTTCTTTTAAGTTGCTGTTGAGTTTCATCGAGTTTTCTCTGAAAAAATACAATATTTTATTGAAACTGTTTAAATGATTATTTAATATTTACTTGTAATTTTTCAACTGCAATTTCCGATTCATGTATAGTAGTGGATAATTTCTTTTCAGCTAATTCTTTCCTAACATTAAGTTCACCAATCTCTTCTTGTTTAGTTCTTAGAGCCATCTTCAATTCTAGGATGTCATTTTCTTTAGTTTTGATGGTGTTCCTTAATGTTTTTGTTTCTTCTAACTCATTTTTAACTTGCTTAGCACGTTTTATTATTGGAGGAACCACCTAAAAGTAAATATAATAATTAACACATTTTTATTTTTAATACATATGAAGTCCATTACATTTGGCATTTCTGTAGAAGAGTTAGATAAATCTGCTTCTTGAACAGCTTGTGCTGCACCAGCTACTTCACCAGCAAGTGTCCCAACACACATTTTCAAACATATAGTGACTCCCTTAACAGCTTGATCTTTTCCAAATACTTTTTCAACTGAATTAATCATTACTTGCATAATACTTTTGCTATTAATTTTCTTGTCATCTAATATTTAGAGTAAATTATGTATTTTCCAAAACAGATTTATTAAATTTAAGAATTTTTAAAAATAAGAACAAAATATACTAATTTTAATAATATATAATAGTTAATACAAATTAATATTATTAATATTAATTTTTATTTTAAAAATATCTATACTTATGATTTATTTTTAAAGATAAAACTAAAAAATTTCTTTTTATAATAAATATGTAAAACATATGATATTTATCTTCATTTTTAACAATTTTTGATTTGGACAATTTTTTCCAGTACCACCCAAGTTATGATTCTGTATGTTTCAACAAGTGAAATAATATTTTATCTAATAATTTTAGTTTCAAATAATTGTAACATTAAACAAGTTTCAACAATTTATTTTTACTAAAACAAATATCAAAAAAAAACTTATTAATCCTCTATACTTCTTAAAATTTCAATATTGCTAAAAATGGCAAAACCCAGCACAGTGGGGTCGTGGCATAGATGATATCTGACAGTGATTAAAATCACTATCATAAAAAACGCTTCGATGCAAATCTATTGATAGTGTTTAATATAAAAAAAAAAATTTGTCTAAAAAGTAGGTCAAATGAAAGCTGAGAAAATAAATGATAGCTACAAAAAAAAAAAAAACATAGTAAAATAATATTAATATGAATTTCTTCTCACGAGAGGAGACTACAGTAATGGAATCCTTGATATTTATTGAAGTTATTGAATCTAAATGAGATAAAAATCAAATGAGTTAAACATTTTTTTTTAACTCAAAAAGAATTTAAAAAAAATTTAGTGCCATAGTCGTGAAAGACCCAAGTGTTACCGTCTCAAAAACCGTACGTCTCATTCGTCACTTAATAAAAATGGAAATTTAGCTAGTTCAAATTTTAAAGTTATTTTTCTCGACTTCAAAGAAACAAAAAAATTTAAATATGATTAATTTTTTATACTATGTCATTTAGATTGATATAATATTTATGAAAATCAGTGTAATCCCCTTATAATAAAATAAAATACAAAACCAAGAATTTTAACACAATAATAGCATATTTTTAAATACGGTAGCTATTTTCACCATGTATTCTCCTAATAAGATATTTTAAAATAAAATAAAATACAAAACCTAGAATTTAATAGAAAAANTTTTTAAGGGTAATTTCTTCAACTAGATACGATTTGTGATCTTTTGACGTATTGTTGAAAGAAATCGGTCCAATGAGAGCTGAGAAAAAGTAGCAACAGACATAAAAAAAAAAACACATCATGGAAAAATTAATACCTTCTCAGCTTTGTATCAAAGCTGCTAATAATTAATAATTAATCAATCATCTAATTTAATTTAGTGATAGTTTAAAAAAAAAATTTGGAATTGCAGTTTATGAACTACAATTCTAAATTATTTTATTAAATCAATGGTTATATCATATGTGAAAAAATGTTAACTTATTTATAAATATATAGAAAATTTAGTAGTTTACACATTCACAGATTTATAGATTTTTGTATTTTAATAATAGTAAATTATGAAAAAGCTATAATTAATGTTTGATTTTCAACACTATTAAGGTTGTATAATTCAAACTAAATTTTATAAACATTATTTTTTACAACTTATGAAAGAAATTTAGAAGTATTCTTATTATTTATTTAAAAAGGTATAATAATGGACTCTCTAATGCATTGGAATACATATCCATTTTATAATACATCAGTTTATAATTACGTACACAATAAATCAAATTCAATTTGTAATATTTATGTTTAAATAGTACCTGCAGCCAATGAAATTTGAGATACTGCACTTCTGGCTGTTTCTCTTAAAACAGATATTAATTTTTCTGCATATTGTATAGTAGAACTTAGATCTACTTTAACAGAATTATTTATGTCAGCCCGTTTTTTTATTTGTTTTAAATGTTGAGTAACCACTTCACATGCAACTGATATATCATCACAAAATTTGGAAATGTTTGTTGTAGACACATCATCCTTTAACAAAATATAGAAGTTAAAAAAATATAAAATAAATAATAAACAATTGATGTAATTTTTTCATTTTCAAATTACTTGAATAACACATTTTATAATATTAGCGTCTGTTTGGATTGTGTTACATGCTGCAAACAATAATGATATATTATCTAATAATAAGTGTTCATAATGAGGATGAAAATCTTGAATTAGTGGTTTGTAAACATTATTGAAATAGGCTACACATTTTTCTAAATTCTCAGTGTTGACATTCTCATCCAACTATTTAACATTTTAAAATAATTAAATATTTTAAATAAACAAAACTAATTACATACTTGATCAATTTTGAGCATTTCAATATAACCATTAAGTACTTTTTCTTGAATCATCATATCTGGAAAAGATTCACCAACTTTAATTAATGTCTCTGGTGATGTTGTGTTCAGTCCATAAATAAATTGTCTTAAGGCTCCCTTAAATAATACAAAGAAAAAAATAAAGATTATACACAATCAATTAAATTTATATATAAAAATACCTGTAAATTATACAAGTAAAATGATAACCTAGAACGCGTAGAAAATTGTTCAGCAGAGTGATCTTTCATTAATGTTTCTTTAGTTATTTCTTGTATATCCGGATATTTGTCTCGTACATGTGTCATTAATATTTCACTCTTCCAAATCATTCGAGGTAGTAGCAAAAGTGACAAGATAGCATCGTAATCACCTATAAATAATTAATTATACAAAATATTTAAAAAAATAGTTCTTTAACTTATTTAAAAAAAAAATAGTAAAGTTTAATAAATTATAATTATATAATCAAATAACAACTATTTTTTAATTTAATAATACTCTTAATACAGTCTTCATGTTAAAAAATAATCAAATAAATAGAATGTATAGTGTATTTGTAATAAGAATAGTATGTTTTAGTTGTGAAATGCATGTACATAGCGTGATCAAAATTTAGTATAATACATAGATAATATTAAATCTAATTAATAAAAATATAATAAATTATAATTAAAAAAATTATACTAAAAAAAAATATATTTACTGTATTTTAACGTTTAGGTCAGTCATTCATGCCTCAATAGGCCCTCAAAATTTATAAGTTCTGGGGACCATCCCCCCATTTATCCAGGCTTAAAAATATTTTAAGTCTTGCTAACTTTGATTAAAATATATGTCTATTGTATTTAAGGGAATTAAAACATCGTGTTATTAATTGTCTTCAGAGCCAAGAATAACATAATTGAGTTTTCATTAACACAATTTTTTGTTATTAAATGTTCAATTGAAAGCCAATATTAAAGACACAAATTATTTTTGGAAAGTACACATAATAAAATGACAATTTTTTTTTAATAATAATACATTTAAAAAAATTGTATTTCTTTAATGTACCTCCAATAGTCATAAATGAATCAGGCATATAAGCTAAAAGGTATTGTATATGTTGCTGCGCTTCTTGAGTTTCCATTCTACGTAGTTCTAAATCAATTGCTCGACTATGCGCTTTAGTTTCAGCAAACATTTTCTAAAAAGTATAAATGTATGTTTTCACATAGTTTAATAAAGAAATATAATTAATATAAAACAGCCATAACATCTAATTAAGCATAAAATATCATAATAGTTTCATACAATTATATAAACATTAAAAAATTTTATACTAAGTAATATGAAAAATATAATATATCTTACTTTGAAATCAAGCATCTCGGGTATTGATGAACGAACTTCATCTTTGGAAGCAGATTCCTTCATTAATTGAGCTTGCAAATCTTGATTTTGCTCACGCAATTCATTAACTAAATCTCTAAATTTTACAATTACTAAACTACGATCAGCTAAGCTTTCTAATGCGCGTTCTTTCTCTTTAATACACTATTAAAAAAATTTACCAAAATAAATTATTTAATAAATACATTTTAAAGTATAAAATGTTCAGTATATAAAAAAAGGATATTTATTATTTTCATAGTTTGTAGCAATAGACCCATTTCATTACTTTTTAATATTTAGTATAAATCTTATATTGCAATGAAAACAGCATATATATGAATACATTTATTAAACATACCTCTCGAACATTAGCATTGGCTATATCTAATTCTTCACGTAACTGCATTTCCAATTCCCTACTGTCTTCCTGTAATTGATCATTTATATCTTGAATAGCTTCAAGGTCAGTAACTGCCTCTTCAAGTTCTGCTACTTTATCTTCTAGATTTAATTTCTGTTGACCCAAAAGTTCAACTAATTCTTCAGCTCCAAGAGCGGCATCAACCTTTTAAATAAAAAAAAATTATGCATATTATGATCATAATTATAATTATTAATAACCATACATACCTGTTCATGTAAATCATTAACTTGAGAAGTAAGCTCTTGTACTCGAGCAGTTAACTTATCATTTGACTTTTGCAAATCAGTACATTGTTTTGTTTTTTCTTCAATTTCTCTTTGTAAATTCTGAGTTTGATGTTTTTCATGAGCAGACAAGTCACGCAGCCTACATTTAAAGAAATTATAATACAAAACAATAATAAAAAGGTACTAAAATATTTTTAAACTAACTTAACTAAAGTTTCACGAAGACGTAAATTTTGTTGTTCAAGTTGTTTTACTTTAAATGAATTAACACCATCTTCTGAATCATTTCCACTACCCTTTTCTAATTCTGCTTTCAACAGTTCTAAGTCTACAGTCAATTCTTCAATTCGTTCCTTAGCCTGATCTAACTCAAGTTGAAGGGTTTCAGCCTTAACTTCAGCCATTTCTTTATCAAGAGTTGCCATTTCCAAAGTTTCAGCAATTTCACTATATTCATCTTTGCCTTCTAAAGCCTCTAATTTTTCTAATTTAACTTGCTCTAATTCTTTTTTCAAAGCTGAGTGAGATTCCATAATTTTACTTTTAAATTCTGATGCTTGATCTAACTGAAGTTTCATCATATCAATTTCATGAGATTTTTCTTTAAGTCTTGCTAAAAAATCAAAATAGATAAAAAAAATTACAAATCCATTTTTTAATATTAATCTAATTTTAGTAAAAAAAAAAAATTTAATCAGTGTGAAGTATAAGACATTTTGCAAATAGCTATTACTATAGAAAACAGTATGATAATTTATATTCCGAAAAATAAAATTATAAATCTTCTTCAATAGAAATGTTTAGACTAAGGTGTCATAGTACATTTTTTTTTTTTTTTTTTTTAAATTTATAAATAAATGATTGAATTTTCATATTTACTGAAAACTTTACATAAATTAAAAATTAAAATTTTAGTATGTACCAATAAATAAAGGATAAAACATATTTTTACCTAAATTATTTCAGTATAATCATTTTAAATTTTAACTTTATTATTAATACTTTAATTCATTTTAACATTGTATATTTACTTATTATGTTAACATCATTACTTAAAAAATTAAATAATTTTCCAATCCAATAAGAGTTAAACTTGACTCTTATTAGTATCATAAATTATTTAGTTAAATGACATATTTACTTTTAACAACATCTAACTTTTCAGATAAATCTTGAACTTGATCTTTTAGCCCTTGAATTTCAGTAGCTTCAGCAGCTACCAAAGTTGATCTTTGAGTAGGAGTAGATACATTTGAATTAGGTGTAGCAGACTGACCTATAGTGTAGTGTGATTTAAGAGCTTCAACAAATTCAGTCTACATTATTTAAAACATCAAATTATTGTAAGTTAATAATTATTATAGTTGAATGTACACAAATTACAAATGATTGAATACTTTGTCTATGATAATCCTTCCCAAATTTTAAATATGTGAACTCTAACAAAACTGATAAATTGCATTTCACAAACTCAGAAAAATATGAAATTTTCTAATTCTATTATGGATTGGCACATAAGTTATCAGCTGATATGTGTAGATAAATTATGGATTCTGATGACATAATAAAATTTTAGGTTAAATAAAAAAAAATGTCAAAATGTTCATGTATTTAAATTACACGCTACATGAATTATAATATTATATTATGAAACAAATTATTGAAGGGATAATAAAGTTATATAAAATATATATATATATAATAGTAAATGTTTTATTTATAATATTTTGAGATTTTTATTATTTATCAAAATTAATGTAGGGTTTTTCATTTGTTAATTATAACTTACTTCTGCATTATATTATTATTGATTGAATTTGAAAGTATATATTTGTATAAATTTGAATTGGATTGGATTTTTTTTTTAAAGTATTATATAATATTATTAACTTTTTATACAATTAAATTAAACATACACATTTGTACTTGTATGATATGTCGGAGTTTGTGAAATGTATTATAGCAGTTTTGTCAGAGTTTAAATACAGCCCAAATTGTTATGTTTTTAAAATATGTCATTTATAACAGACAATATCAAGCTTATCAAAAAATAATACATTAAACAATTATGTTAATTTTTAAATAATTTTGTAATAGACATCTTGACTCAATATTATATTAAATTTATTTATTTATTGTTTTTAAAACACAGTTATGAAGTGAAGTTAGTTTTAAAAAAAGAGTATTTTTCTTTTTATTTCTAAAAGCATTCCATTTCCATACCTTTTGCCCGTGCACTATTTATATACAACACATAACATACAATTATTTTAATCAACACTCTCTTAAACAGATGGTTAGTCTAACGCAATATTGAGGAAAAAATAAATTTTCCTTGAACGAAAATTCTCTCTTCCATTGAGCTTAGAGTTTTTGAATTAACATATTATAACAATATTAATTAAAATTATAATTTCCCTGTTTGCTAATGACTATAACTTAATAAATCAATATTTTACTGTGTAAAAAGAAATAAAATAATGGCACCTAATTTATATTAAATATTTAAATAAATAGATTTAAAAAAAAACAAGACAATACTTCTGGCATTTCAATTTACTTTTAAATTAAAATGATTGAATATAAAAATCACCAGAATATTTTAATCATAAATTCACCGATTAAGGATAAAAAACCATTATATACAGAATATAGACTATGATAACAATTAATGTTTATAAAACTTAATAATAATTCTTGGATTTATATTTTAAAACACACTATAAAAATACATTACAAAAAAGTTAGAACACAAGAAAATCCCACTTAACTTTCAACTTTTCAATAAAATAAAAATTACTTCAGGATTAGATATATCTTTTAACAGTGTCAATGATTTGGTTATTTGTGTTTCAACAGATGATTTCATTTTTGGTGTAATTAATTTAGATAACCGACTTGGTTTTTCACTACTTGGTAATTGCTAAAAAATAATATACCTTTACAAAAGACTAGGTAATAAAATAAACTTTAGCAAATAATAAGAATTAATTGAATAGAGCCATATAACAAGAATTAAATTAATTTCATCATATTTTAGTTCAAAAAATTTCATGATTACATTTAAACATATAAGTACAATTTAAAGGGAAAAAATGAAGTGACCTTAGTGCTGAGTCAATTTTTATTCAAATTATTTGTAAATATTAATAATAAAAAAAACTATCAATGTAGTCAAACAGATTAGTAATTGTAAAACCAATAAAATTGTATTAAGACTCTAATACTAAAATGTAAATGTTAAAAAAAAATACCTCCACAAAGGATGATCGCTTTGGAGTTGTTTCAACTTCTGTAAATGAAGTTTGTGACAATGTTCTAGATGGTGCACGCATGGATGGTTGTGATGGTGTTCGGGTGGGTAGAGCGCGAGAGGGAGGTATTATAGATGATTGTGAAGGAGTGCGATTGCTTCCAACCAAAGATGACTGAGAAGAAGTGCGAGACACTGGAGATGTAAATGTATCATCTTTATTTTTAGAACCCATTGTACTTAGTCTACTAGTTCCAGATAACGACTGTCTAGAACTAAATAATAAATTAATACATTTAAAAAATGTATTAACATACATATAAATTTGACTTACACATTTGCATCTATCTTTTTTCGTAAGCTAATTAGTGTTAAAGATAAACACTTAATATAAAATATTTTTATGATAACATTTTAAATAATATTTAAAATACATGCCTACTAAGTCTAGACTTTGCTGATTTTGATGCCAAAGATTCTGTACTAGTAGCCATATCAAAACGAGTTCCATTTTCACCAATGAGGGTTAGATGAGATTGTCTTACAAATATGCCATGATTTTCTTCACACTAAAAAGCAGAAAACATACAATTTAAATTATTAATTAACATATTTTCACTTATAAAATATTATTATAATATAAAACTGAAGTCTCAATACCTCAAAATATGTTTTTGAAATGCCTTGACGATTTTTAATAATTCCATTATTTTTCCCTTTTGGTTCATCTAATATAATACCAACCCATGTTCCAGTTTCAAAATGAGTTGTTCCGATAAAAGCTACATTGCCTTGTATATTTTTTCCAGTAAGTTCAACTCGATTTCCAACCTCTAACTTTGGCATTTTAACAAATTAATCTACTTAAAACTATTTATCAAATTTTAACTACAAAAGAATTTAAGTTATTTAGAATGAAACAATATAATTTTGAATAATAGTTAAACTAAAATAAATTTGAAAACGCATCACAAATAAAAATAATATTAAACTAGTTCTCATAAAAATTTTACTTTGGGAATACCAAAATTAATTTTATAAAAACAAAACGTAATATTTTTATCAACTTTTTAATTTTATTATATTATCAATTTCTTTTTCGTGAAAATGATATCAAATTTTAATTAACAGTTATCGTTACCAGGTGTAAGTTCTACATCGTACTTATACCACAATTAAGTTAAAACCAGATCGTTCAATTCGGAATTAACTGACAATTCAAACCTGCCACAATGCAGTGTCACTACAATAACCAAACTTAGTTATTGTACAACATCTTTTGCTATAATTATTACATCAAATAATTGATTATGCATGTATACATGAATGCTGGCCGACCCCAAGTAGTTGGAATTAAGACGAGGAAGAAGAAGAAGATGTATACATAAATGTCAATGCATATTAATGAAATTTCAAGAAATAGTCAAAATTTGAGATACACAGAAAGTGCATCATTTGGCTTTATCTTTTTCTGTGCTTATACGATAATTAAAAGAATGGATGTACTATGTATAATGTGCAATCAATTTTTAATAATAATATTCTAAAACTTCATCAAATTTAAGATAACACAATGTACATTAAAATAAAAAAACAATAGCTTAGTGGGCTTATGGTACAGTGGAAACGTGGCATAGTTTAAACAAGTATAAATAATTCTGACAGTGATTAAAATCACTATCATAAAATACGCTTCAATGCATAACTGTACATAATGTATACTTTTATGAAATTGGTGGAAACTTTTTCTGATATAAAATATATTCTGATTAGTAATTCGTAGATTTATAAGTTATACATAATTAAATAATGAGTAATTTATAGTTTTTATAATAGTAATTAATATTAGGATAAAATTGATACACAATATTATATTATTGTAAATTTTATGGAGAAAATATAAAGAATTATAAAGTAATAGTATATTTTGTTATTTTTATGGCAAACGTATATAAAAATTGAAGTACTTGATGCAACATTTTTCAGAAACTAATTTTAATATAATTAGGTCTAAACTAATCTACAAAGAATTTTCATCAGTAACAAAAATATATATATTCGGAACCTATATTAGTACATTATAGGATATAATTATACAGAATATAATACTGAATATTTTAATTATAGTATCTATTTAAACACCAAAAGTTTCATGGAAATGATACCTATGATTTTTATTAAAATGATTTATTATTAATAGGAATAGAAAAAAGTAATGACAAATTTAATTAAAAATCACAACTTAAAAAACCGTTGTTTTTACACCAAAATAATATTATTTTGTTTAACTTCAGGAACCGTTAACATACAAAAGACAAGTCGATAGGACAATTTTTTTTTCTTTAACTTATAGTATGTTCACATAAGTTTTATTTTAATATATGTTTAAAGCTCAGAGTATTTACGAAACGTTTTCAAAACTTAAATTAAAAAAGTTAAGTTTTTGTGCAAAAGTTGCTAATTTAAATCCTCCCTGAGGGTATATAAAAAGTCAGATTTTCTAAAAAATTATACTAAATGAAAGCAAAATATTTAAGGTAATTATAAAAACAAAATATTTTGTTTCGTTCATTTTTAAACAAGTTATGGCAGTTAAAAAAAAAAAGTCAAAATTTAATGATTTTAAAAATCAACATTTTTTTGTTATTTCCATTATTTCCCTGTAAATGGTGGAAATACGAGTGGATTTTTTTCAATTTCAAGGCAATGTCTTCAACAAGTTAGGATTTGTAATCTTTTGACGTATCGTTGAAAGATATCGGTCCAGCAAGATCTGAGAGCGAGTGACGAAAGACATAAAAAAACACATTTTAATAATATTAGTACTTAATGATATAATAATACTATAATTCAAATAAAACACAATAAATAATGATTTATATTCAATTGAATNCTTTTTAGCTTCCCATCAAAGCTAACAAGAATATATTTACACAGAATAAAATCAATGGACTCTTGTAAAAAATTACAAGGTGTATATAGGAAGGTGATTAGAATAAGTCCATCATTTTTATGTAGGTAAATCACTTTTGTACTAAAATTGTGTGTACCTTTATCAAAAGTAAACTAAAAATTTTAATTATAGTTTTTATGTTTTTTTTTTTATACTTTTTGAACGGGTTTAACACTTTACATAAATATTTAAGTAATTAATATATTTAATGATATAATAATACTATAATTCAAATAAAACACAATAAATAATGATTTATATTCAATTGAATAATATTTTTAAATATTTCATATAAAAACTTTCAAAATTCATTCATTTTGAATAATTTATTCTATTGTACTTTTTGATACATATACACAAACGGATAATTAAACAAAAAAAGAATCAATTAACATGATTATGAAGTTTTATTACCAATATACACATTAATCAAATTAATTATACATTAATTACGCAATTAATAAATTAAAATTTTATTAAAATTGAGTCCAGTGCAAAAAATGACTTCATTAAATGATTTAAAACTTGTGAATGTATTTTATAATTTTGTAACTATACTTTATATCTATTGAATAAATTTAAGATTTATTAAAATACAAATATTATTTTTATTAATTTACAATAAAAAAACTAATCAAGGAAAATCCTTTGGTATTTTAAACATCTTACAATCTTCATCTTTGTTGGTAATTTTTTAGTTATTGCAGATTTTTACAATACAAACCTAAACCAATTTACTAATTATCATATAAAATAAAATTAATTGACGAGTACAATTTTCATAATATATAGATAGTCAATAAGTAAGGAAATGGGTTTATATTGTTCTGATTGTTTATAAAAATCGACCTGTTTCCTTTCTTACTTTCTTATTTTCACTCAACCGGCAATAGTTCTTATCACGACAATAAAACTGATAATATCATTATCTACAATAATATGGCTACCAACTTCTGTTTTTAATAAGAGTTTTCAAGACTTGATATTAATTTATAAATGTTATGAAAACTTAAATACTTACTATTGTTTTATGTTTGATGTATTTTGTAAGAGAAGTTATCTGTTATTCTGTTTCTTTGTTAGTTTAAAAGAATTTTTTTATTTTACTTCTTTCTATAATACTCAAATTTTTATATAAATTATTATTTGATAGATAAAAAGACTGATGAGAAATTTTTCTATAAATGTTAAAAATTTTAATGATTACATGTGTTCTTATGAAAATACTAATTATAATTTAAAAAATTCAACCGTCCTTATAACATACACATTGTTACTTTTTACAATATAATATTATTTATATTATAAATCTACATATTTGTATACATTATTTTTTACGCTCATTTTATATTTTATATTTTGTTGAGATTCGTTTATTTTGGTTTTAAAATTTTCGTTACTATAGTAAATGTGCAACAAAATCTGATCCCCTGATGAAGGCTCGTGTTCATATCGTGTTATCTTAGTGCTCATAACAATCAATCACAAATTTTCAAAAAATATACGAGATTGTACTCGATATGATTATTTTCCGTAGACAACTACGTTGCAATAAATTATTACACTTAACAAATTTAATTATCTTAATAAAAATAAATTCTGTATCACAAAGATAAAACTGATTGATTGACAATTATAATTGCTTTCAATTCTTCGAGGGAATGAGATCATTAATAAATTAAACTTAACTTAATTTAAGTATAATATTTTAAGCATGCAAAGAGTGTAAGGTCCCTAAAAATCTTGAGATCCCAGTGTTATGTACTGGGATGTAAGGGATATTTACTCATCTTAAGGAATAATCCTAAATAACATCAGTTTTTACTTTATTATAGTATAACTCAATATTTATTATTTATTCGTTCGATGAGCTAAGTAAATTTTTCAAATATTATAATTTATAATGTAATTGTTTCCAGAATTAACTATATAAGAACTCTTGAACTATTACAATTATCCAGTTCATTTATAGTATTCGGCTTTAATAAGTTAAATTGAAGCTCAAATTTAAATCATCTGAGATATTGCACATGGAAAATTTTTGCTTAGGTAATAACTTTTAAATTTAAGGATATTGTCATATCTATAATATTTTAGTTTCTTATTACTGACTATTGTAAAATTCTTTGAGGTATAAAAATCAATTATTTATTTTAATTTAATTTAGGTAAATATATGAAATAAATTTTAGCAAAATGATAATGAAAAAAATAATGCGAGGGCGTCGCCCCCACATTAAAACTATTTAAATAATAAATGCGTAATTGGGGATTTCCAATAATTATATCTACCATTCAATTTATATAAATATAAAATTATTATGTAATACAATGTACAATGTTAGCTTACAATAAAATTTAGATGAAAAATGCGTGTATAAAATAAGTTATGCTAAATTTAATTTGAGTTTTCGGTAAATTTTGTAATTAATATTAGCGCCTACATCAGTTAACAGCTGTATTTTTCGTTCTGGATATGTATCTAACTTCATATATGTAATGACGACACGACCAATTTCTTTGTAGTTATTACACATTTCCTATTGAACAAATCATCTTATCACAGTAATCATACTTAATAATCGTCTTTCTCTTTTTTATTGCAATTTTTCTGTGGATAATTGTTAGTAAATTTTATTATTATTATTTGTTTTTGATTGTAATTTATAGCACGTTATTATTTATAAGATTAAGATAAAAGAATCAAAATTTTAAACATTTTTGCTCCCTAAATGTTTTAAATGAGATTCTTCCATTTATGTAATTCCATTATAAAAGTAAGTCTATGTCGATTTTATTTTATCGCTATATCATTATAAGGTTGATGACAATTTTAAGTCGCAAAAAGTGAAGGCTAGGTTTCTAATTTAATTGAAGAGCCAATTTTTAATGGTTTTGAAATCTAAAAATAAGGTCATTTACGTTGATAATTTTGAAATTTATTTCTATTGATAGGTTTACTCTATATATTGATAATATTTTAAATTAGATTATAAATTGAAAAAAAAGTGTAGCTTTATTAGAATTACAATGGTTTTAGTATCACTGTTTAATTTTTCATTGTTTTATTATTTAGTGTTATGAGTCGTAATTTTGGATATTAAAGGATTCCATTTATTGTGAAGTTGGGTGTTTATTTGCAAAAATGACTTCCCAAAACACTCTGAAGTGGTCTTGCGATATATGCACTTATGATAATTACCATTCATCTCTTAAGTGCGTTATGTGTAGGACCCCTAAAAGGCAAGTATCTCAAGCTCAAGACATTTATAGCTTGCGTGATGAAGCACAAGTAGAACCACAAACACAATTAATTGAAGGTATGTCAATCTTTGCTAATTTTGAATTAATTAATCTATTTAAAGAATTTTATGCTGATTTTATGTACAGCTACTGGTGAAATTAGTAAATGTGAAAAAATAACTGAAAGTAATGTTGTTGGTGCATTAAACGAACAATTCTGCAACGATTTAAAAATAAATGACAGATCTAATTCACCAACAAATGAAGAGGCTTCATCTAGTTTAGATGTTCGTGCACTTGCTAAATGGTCTTGTTGTGCTTGCACATACCAAAATTGGCCTAAAAGTTCTAAATGTGTTATGTGTGGTAAATTAATATCTTAATTTTGTTAAAAGTAAATTATTAATTATTTATATGAATATATTGTAGGAACAAAGGGACCACGTAGAACTTCTCCATCTCCTGACCATGCTATTTGTGAGACACCTACTATTATTACAAAACGAGTTAAATCACCAGAAAAAGATCTTACAGCAACTATTAACACAGACTTAAATATTTGTACATTAAAGAGGTAAGTTTTTAAGTATTGTACATTTCATAAATAATATAATTTTACAATTTTGGTTTTGTATTCAAAACTATTGCTAAAATGAAAAATTGTAATTTTTTTCTTTTTTATTGAATCAAAATCATAAATAAGATATTAAGAACAATTTATACTGATATAATTTTGAAAATACAATAGTTAAAAATATTAATAATAGTTTAGTATTGACCTCTTAAGAACTATTTAGTCTTAAATTAGACAAAAATATTATTTCTTTGATATTTATTGTTGATTTTTATTTTAATTTCTCACTAAGCTATCAATTAGATAACTTCAACTACCTTAGGAATAACTATTATTTGTTTGATGTCGCTATATTATTTTATTAATTCTTTAAATGAAAAATATTTAATTTTTTTCATAAAAAATTGATTGTATAATAAATTGTTTATTAATATCTACTAAATATTTATAGGAATTTTTAGAAAACTAAACATTTTTATGAGTGGCACATAACTCTTTTCATTGTTGTTTTCTATATATTGCTGTATTTAAAGTATATTTTTATTTTGTATTTTAAGAGTATATGTATGCAGTTATAAGGTATTTTTACTATTTTTAAAATGTACCTTTATTAAGCCTTTTGTTCTAATTATTTTTTAGTATAATTTACTCATTAGGGTTTTTTTTATTTTAATAAAGTTTTTTAAATATAAACAATATAAGAAATATCTTGCACTACAGTCAGAGTTTTGGTATATAATTTTGTTTTATTATAGGTCTTCATCAAGAAGACGTTTGGATGAAGTGAATAGCAACTATGATCGTGCATGGCTTGCAGCATGTGTTGGTGTAGTTCAAGGTGATTGGAGTCCTATTGCTGCTTATTTACAATCTGGAGGTGATCCAACAAGATCTTTAACTACTAATGAAGTAACATTACTTAATAGACCATCGGCATTTGATACTGGACATACATTAGTTCATTTAGCTGTAAGGTAAAGAACTACATTTTTTACATTGTGCAAAATTTAATAAAAGAAAATTTTAAGTTAGAATTTTCCAAACAATTATTTTGTCTTATAAATTAAGATACTTACAGGAGGTTTGATACATTTGAAAAAAGTTTTAAAATTATTTTATTATTTTTAAAAAGTTAATGAAAAAATCTAATTAAGGTTAATTCAAGGGTACTTTTAATATATACATTTTATAAGTTGTTTTATTTTAATACATTTTTTTTTTTTTAATAGATTAAAACTATTAATTATTATTTCATAATATCACTATTATTGTAAAATATAATAGTCTGGAAAACCCTCTTGATAAACATAAGTGTATCTGGATGGTCTTTGTGGAAATTATGCCCACTCAATTTTTTTCATAGCTTCATTTATAAATTAATGTATCTTATTATAATTATTAATAATTACAAAAAATATTTTTATTTTTTATTAGGTTTCATCGCGAAGAAATACTTGCAAATCTTTTAAATGAAATAAATGCTACTAGTACCTCATCAACCATAAAACGAGTCCCATCCCACGTGGCTCATCAGCTAGCTGATGAAATAGGAAGGCATTTTCTCTCAACTATTCGTGTAAGAAAGTTATTAATGCCTTGTCCTTTTGTAACTGAGTTTGCAACATTCTCTTTACCATATGGTAAGTTATTGTTTAACTATTTTTAATAATAGTTTATAATATAATTATAAATCAATTTTTAAATTATTTAAATGTTTTAGAAATTGAAGAACTGCCTAGACCTGTACAAAGACAGCTACTTGATGAATTACTGGACCGTAATGTTCAACAAGAGCTAGAAATTGAAGAAGTACCACCTGTAATTAATTGGTCAACAGATATTTGTGATAGTTTATGTTCTAGGCTGTATGCCCTTTGGAATCGTTCAGCTGGTGATTGTTTATTAGATTCACTGATGCAGTCAACTTGGGGTATTTTTGATAAAGACAATGTACTTAGAAAAGCATTAGCTGATTGCTTGCATGAATGTAATATGTTGTAAGTGTATGGAGATAACATGTAAATAACGAAATTCATGATAAATTTTAACAAATTACAGATTTTATCCAAGATGGAAAGAATATGAAGCATGGCAAGCCAAACAATTAGAATTTTGTTTAGATGAGTATCAGTGGGCAGAAGATTGGGCTGCATTAGTTTCACAAGCAGAGAGACCTGGTTCAAGTCTTGCTCAACTTCATGTATTTGCCCTTGCTCATGTTATGCGCAGACCAATAATTGTGTATGCTGTTAAATATGTCAAAAATTATCAAGGTGATAGATTAGGTTATACCAACTTTGAAGGTAAAAAAATGTTTTATATATAAATTTATACCACCTATATTATATGTATAATTCTTTTAAAATATTTACAGGAGTTTACTTACCTTTATTGTGGGAGCCCAGTTTTTGTATCAAATCTCCAATCACTTTAGCTTATACTAGGGGACATTTTTCTTCATTAGTACCTGTTGAACCATTACCACGCGGAAAAAGTACTACATACTTACCTCTTGTTGATCATGATCACAAACTGTTACCAATTCATTTTGTTACAAAATCAGAAGTAATTATAATAGTTGTATTAGTATTTTATTATTATTATGTTTTTTTTATTTATACGTAGATGGGTCATGAAGAAAATATCTTACGACAATGGCTGGATGTCTGCTTAACAGATAATGGTTTATTACTAGCCAGGCAGCGATTGCATAAACGCCCATTGTTAGTTGCTCAAATGCTTGAAGAATGGTTAAACTATTACAGGAAACAAGCGTAAGTGTGATGAATTATTTTTAATTATTATTTAAAATATTAAACTAAAAATTTAATTTTACAGTCAAATGACAATTACACCTTTTTCAAGACCTATATCAATACAAGATTATTCTAGTGAAGGAGATTCAGATCAGGATTAGTGATAAAACAATTGAGTATCATTAGTGTAATGAGTTTCCTATGTTTGAAATATTAAATAATGTACAAATAAATTTTAAATATCTCAATAATTGTATAAACTTTATTAGTTTTAAATGATAGAATTTTCTTGATTTCTTTTATGAATACATAAATTATAAATTAATTATTATAAGAATTTTTTCATCTTTTTAACAGGGTTAATAATAGTATATTTTTTTAGTTACTATTTCAATTTAACACATTCTTTGAAGTGTGTTAACTTATATCTATATATGTTAAATAAAGTTAAAAAAATTAAAAAACAAGATAATATAAGTATCTTAAAAGAATCATCTACAAAAAAATATTGATTAAGTAAAACTTGTCTAATATTATTCGGCTTACAAAAAATATATTTTTCTTATATTAAGTAGCTTATGTACTAAACATCTTTGTTATTATTTTAAAACATTTAAAAACAGTAGGTGGGTGATATATATTTATGGACTAAATAAATTAAACCATAACTTTTAAACAAAAATCTATGTATTTCAGATATTTTATTATTATAATTATAGAATTTGTTTTATTCGTCATAATCTACAAATTTAAAGTTACTTAGTTATTATCTCTAGATAGGTTTTTTACTCACAAACTATTATTATGGTTCTAAAGCACAATTATCAATCAAATTTACATAACTATTAACTAAAATCTTTAAGTATAATAAAACAATAATTAAGAAACAATTCTAGTCATTGTAGTTCTATAAATACTTTCTGATACTTTATTTTAGTTTTCACATTATTCATACGAAAATTGTAATAAATTTTTACCCAAAATATACTAGTCTTCAAATGAAAAAAAATTTTAATTAAAAAAAATATAAATATATATCAGCAAACATTTTCAGTTTCCATAATATTATTTCATTTTAAATTAATCTAAAACACTGCCAAAATTTGATTTGCCTGAAAAACAATTAAAATATAAAAATAACTAGAATTAAATATTATTTTATATTTTTTGTACTTATAATCTTTAGTATCATACTAACATTTTGATTTTTTTTTCATGTTATTAATTTTAAATAGTTTTAAAATGTACATCACAAATAAAAAAAAATGTTTCAAATAATCTGAATTTTAGAAGGAGGCACATTTATAAATTTAAATAAAGATACAGATAAATGTATTTTGTTCTTTTTATTGTAGTAATAATTTAGCAGACAAAAAAAAAGTATATTATATAAAAACATTTTAACTCTTAAATTTATTTTGAAAAGTATGTATTTTATAATGAAATATTAATACATGTTTAGATTAATAAAATATTTTAATTTTAGAAAAAAAATTTTGCCTAGCATACATTTTTAATTTTTATTGTTACATAATTTGCTTAAATCTAAAAATTATTATGATATATAGAAATATTAACTTAAAAACTAGGTATTTCTATTACCCATATAACTGGCTACTCTTTTTCTTTTCTTTTTTTAATATTAATGCACTTAAAATGTTCAATTTTGTTTTAATTAATGAACAAACTTTGTGTTAAACCATAATTGCATAATGCTTGAAATGTGATAATATTATGTAAAAATTAATACATATTTCAGTTATAATTGTTAAGATTTATTTGTAAATTTAAAATGGTTGTGGACAAAAACCATGCACCTGGTCTGATATTATATTTACTTATTAATTTGTAATGTATCTTACTTATATGTTGTTCTGTATTTAAAATCATAATACAAATATATTTTTATTAATGTTATTATGATAGTGAAATATTGCTTTAAGTTACTTGATTAATATTTGTTGATATGTTTACTTTCATGAACTAAGTCTATGTTTTTGGTATTTTTAGTATAGTTTTTAATATTTTAGTCAGAAATGATTTGTAAAATTACCTATGCTTTAATCTTTAGTCAATGCTATTGTTTTAGTTATGCTTATGTACCATATGTTTTTATATGTTTGTTTTCTTTTAATTTTGGGTTTAAGATTGTTGGTGTCACTTTTCATAAAGTAATTAGATTGGGTTTTTGTTAATATATCTTTATTTAGTTGTTACAAAACAAATAAAATTTTAAATGTTTATTAAATTCAAACATTTCATTTGTTTACATTATTCCTATTCCATATTTCCATAGTTATTCTTGTTCAAAACAAAAATTTTAACTCTGCAAGATAGTAAGGTAACAATTGTTTTAACCACAAATTTATTGATATAATGAAAATATGAAACGTTTTCTAATTATATGAAAATTTAAATAGCTGCACCTTAAAAAAAAACTAGATTGAATTACTTGTTAATTTTTAATAGTATTTAGAAGTATCACCTTTCTAAGTTTGAATTGTAAGACATTTTGAAGACAAAAACTTAAATTTTTTGGTTAAATAATTTGTAATAAGTGAAAAATTTTAATATGCAATATTTATAAGGGATCGGATTTCTTTGATAACCTCACTCCTGAGAGACACTAATGTGCTATACATATTATAAAATCACCAAAAATATGTTTAGAATATCTATTTGCACAGGGGCATATTCACATATTTTCTGCCTATAGGCATTAAAAATTGCTTCCCTTCATTACGTTATGACAGAGGGGGCTCATTTTTATTTATTTTCGCCATAACACTACTAATTCTTCTTCTTCAAAAAAAAAAAGTATTTAAAAATATTTTTAAAGCAAATTTATGTTTATAAATAAATCATAAAGTAAATTGCTTGTAGCTATTAATATACATATCATAATTACACAATAAATGAATACGATTATGTTAATTATTAAGAAGTCAATATGTTTTAACAACAATAAAAATATAAATTTGTTGGCCATCAATATTTGCCGCCCCTTAAAATATGCCGCTGTAGGCAGTTGCATATAAATACGTCGCTGTTTATTTGAAAAATATAGCATTAACCAGAATTAGAATTACTTATAAACTTATATTCTCAGATTTGAGACGGAAAACTCATAAATATTATACAATAAAAAAATTTTGCGTACTCTTATTTGGTAAACTTTAATATCAAGATAAACAATAACTTTTTTATTGTACAAATTTTTTAACTGAAAATTATTATTATATATTAATCTGTTGTAGTTTCGTTATTTTCAAACATTTTGTACGTACAAAATGTAAATTTTAATAAAGAAATAATAATAAAAAATTTTTATTATTCTAAATTAAATACTTGTATGTAAGTTTTAAGAAAAATGAAGTTTTGAAGGTGACGTGTTACGCTCTTGTAATATGAGAACATACCATATATATATTTTTTCTTGTACATTGCCTTTAAAATAATTTTAATAGATTAAATGTAATTTATTTAATGTTTTGTATAACGAATTTCGTTATTATTTTAATCTAGTAGTGGGGGAGGTCGTTACTGTGACGAGCAAAACAGAAAACTCCCTACAACCCACAGGTCTAATATTCACCAGTCGTAAAGTGTGCGTTTGTTGAACTCGTTATAGTCGCCGTTCGTTAATAATGTTTATGACAACACTTTATTTAATCATATAAAATAAAAATAAAAACACTAATATTGAACAATCAAAATTCATACATTTTTATATTTATGTTCTAATTCTGAATTTAAGAATAACAATTCAGGTTTATACAAGTTATGAATTAAAATTCGTTAAATCGCTACATAAACAACTCATAAAATGTAAGTATAAATTTTTAAAACTAAATCAGTTATACACAAAATGTAAACTTAAAACTAAAATACTTATTAATTTGATTCATTGAATGAAGGTCAGTAATTATTTTATAATTTCAATTTTTATAAAACCTTGAATTTTTTTATAAAATTTAATTACTTTATAATTTAACATATATATATATTAAATAATGAGTATTTGCCTACAATAATAGTTGATGAAGTGTATCTTTAAAAGTCAAAAGCGTTTAATGAAGTTTTAACCTATAATAATTGTTAATCCTTATAGTTTAACATTTTGTATATAAAAAAAAATAATTGTCTACTGTCACTATATTTTTCCCAGGATGACATTTTTTATACAAAAATAACTAAGTACCTGTGTATTTATAAATTTCTAGCAAAAAAAAAGTCATGAGATCTGAACTTATCAAACTCCATCTTGTTAGGGTTTCTATCCTTAATTTGAAATGTTTCAGTCAAAATGATATCTTTTATATAAAATTATAATACACTCAATATGTTAAGCCTTTTATCATTTTTACTGTATTTATGTTTAATTTTAAAACAAATTAGATTTTTTATGTAACATGAATATTTTCAAATTTTTAAAATAATATTCCCAGAAATTTGATTAAATTGACTCAAACCTTTATTCTCTGGAAATATAGGCGATTATAAATTTTCAATTATGGAGTTTATAACTTTAATGGATCAGTATGTGCTTAGCATTGATAATGGTAACATTGTTCTCGATATACGTATACGCGATTTCTTAGTAATATTTTTGTGGTTTTTTGAGTTAAATATTTTTAATATAATCTTAATTTTAAATAATTAGCCACAAATGATCAATTTTTATTTTTACTATTAATTTTATTTTATTTAAATCATCATAAAATTCTAAACTTTGTGAATGAAATGCATATTATTGTGATCTAATCATATTAAAACTAAAATCGGGTTGGGTTTCAGTACTTGAATTTCGTGATTCAAACAGATCGATTGCCTATAGGCAATGTGTTGAGCGCTCCCACGATCGTTAACTGTGTTAGGATTTATCTCATTTTTACTTTCCATAATAAATGAAAAACACCCAGTACGTGATACTGTTTATTGTTCTGTTTCACAATTTATTAAAATTCGATGAGATAAATCCTAGCGAGTCTACATCGTCAATTTGTATAACTAGATCTAACAAACACGAAAACAATTTTTTATATTCATTTTTAAGTTTCATGGTTTATTTTCATGTAATCATCTAAAGTGTAATTTAACAACTACAACTGCATTGAAATAGAAATCCTTATGGATATTTCTATAAATTTTTTTTACGAGCAACGCTTATTTGAATTACTTAACCAAGTCTAAATTCGTCTTACATTCACACCAAAGATAAACGTCTACTAAATAGAATGAGGTCAACATAATCGATCTATCGCACTTTTTATAATGTCACGCCAATTCCGATATGTAATCTTTATTGAAATTTCCAGCCATGTTATTGTTCAAGAACAAAACCAAAATTTCGATTTGCTGTTATTGTTTTATGAAATGTTTGGTATTGCTGCTATGATATATACGTTTGCCTCCCTTCAAGCCTGACTGGAGACGACACCCGTAGTATTTTACAAAATTCACTTTGCCCATCACTTGTTGAGTACATTAACCTTGACCGTATATTATTTTATATGCGTCCTAGTCGCACAGGTATACGGTCACTACAGTGTGTTATAGGCTCCATTTTATGAACAAAGAGATTACTATCTAATACGACTACATACTGAACAGCTGACATTTTGAATAGCGCATTAATGGTAAAACATTACATGCAGCTGCAGGGTGTAAAGGGACGAGAAAGTCAACCAATTAGCTGTCTGTAAAACTGATGTATTAACACAAAACTGACTAGACTGAGACAAAGTGTTCTTTAATTTTACATTAGTTACAACATTGTCGGTTACTAAAAATATTGAAAACATACAATTAAATAAAATTTTTCTAACAAAAAAACTGTGTTTTTATTTACATGACTATGAATGTATAATAGTGAATAACGCATATCTCTTATCATTCTTAAAATGTATTCCAATAATACTATTTTAACGGTAAACAGTGAACGCACGACTCCATCAATAATGATTCAATGACAATCAGTAGTTCTTACCTAATATTTACTCATAGGTTACTGTTCTCCAAATAATTAAGAAACAACACGAAGGTTTTAAGTAATTGCTCTAAAGTTTATTTTATTTCTTAAAAGATGACCATTTCGTTTTCGAAAGTAATTTAGTTTAATAATCAAAGTGACTAGTTTCTTTGTTTATAGAACAAACGAACTGTCTTAAAACTTGTTTTACAATAAAATTATTTATATTAGCTCTTTTATGCGAGTATCGTCAAATTGCGGTCTTAACCGGCTTTCATCAACAAAGTAACTTAATGCTTGTACATTTAAATACTTAGGTATTTTATGACACTACGTTGTTCAGAATTCCAATAAAATCCACTAAGAAAATGACTTAAAAAATCTAGGTCAATCAGATAGTATTATTTTTTATTTACAGCGAAAACTAGTGGGCCTTAAAAAATTTATTTCTATTTGTTGTCTACATGTAAAGGTTATTATAAATAATTTAAAAAAAACAACAAAATATTTGACTTTCATGAAATGGTTTATGAGAAGGTTCATGAAAAATTAAGCTTTTGACTTTTTATTATTTGTTTTTTCTTCTTTAGTCCCTTTTGTTATACCATTCACTTCTATACTCTTAAACTCTTTACTATACGTCTTAAACATTCCACAAAGACTAATACCTCTTTTTCTTTTTAAAAGTTCTTTAAATTCTATTTCAGATAAAATTTGTATGTTATTTAATCAACTTTATGTTAATATTATTATTACTATTATTTATTTATTTATATAAGTTTCAAACGGGACAAGCCCAATTACAAAAAAATTTTAAGTAAAAGTAACATCATTCGTAACAATATTATTAATAAAGAAAAACAGTAAAAAAAAAAAAAAAAAATTAAAAGCTATAACTAAGAATAAAGTATTATAAATATAGCAACAATTAGTGCTTGTAAGACGATGTACAATGTAAGCATACCGTAAAGAAGAAATAACACAAAAATTAAAAATTAAATTTTAAATAAAACTAAAAAACGTGTGAATTATAAAATATAAAATTGCAATAAGTTTTAAATGAGTGGAAGTTTGGTGAGATGAATAAATCAATTTTTAAATTATTAACCGTTTTCATAATTCTGTTTATGGGAGAGTTACTAGCATAGTTCGTTGTTGTAGTGTTAATGTAAAATATTTTTATATTACGGGTGCTACAAGATGGTACATGAAATGAAAATCGATTCAAAAGTATCGGACAATCTATTTGACCAGCAAAAATTTTAAAGGTAAAATAAATATCTAACCGCATTCTTCGTAGTTCCAATGTCTCAAAATTCATAATTGCTAATAGAGGGTTTTATGAAGAATGAGGTTCTCTTGGTATTAAGCACTATTATGATCTCATTAGTTATTTATCTGTACAATACTATGTAATTTTTTTAAGTTTGTCTCGTAAATGTATAAAAAATAAAAATTATATTTAATTTTTATTAAAATGTACAAGATAATAATTTTAAAGCACTATCCGTTACAAGTATTTTAAGGTACCTATAAAACAGGTTTAGATATATAAAATTTTTTTAGTAGTTTAAATTAATTAATTTAGTATATCTATATATATTATATTATACTATATCCATTTGAATTTTTATTTTATTCATAAAATATTTTAAATATACACAAATATGGTAAATTATAAAAAAGAGTTATGAAAAACTCATCACCGTGTTTCACATAGCAAATAACATGACACGCCTTAATGAATACACTATTTAAAAATGCACCGATAAAATGTTTTATGCGAAGTTAGATCAATGGTCATGTACAAGTCTACGATCAACCAGATAGAAGGTTTGCCGAATTAATTAGCTAAAAATGAGATAACTGTAGCAGGTCTCCTTTTTGCTTCAATTATTGCTTTTCAACTCACCTAACCTGTATTAGCAAGAACGTTAATATTTTGCAGTTCCTAACTATATAACTTGAGATCATTTATAGCAGTCGACTAATTCTTCTAAAGATAAAAAATACCCAGTCGACTTCTATAAAAATGTTGTACAAAGAGATTATTAAAATGTACTAGAAACTATATTTTTGTTTAATTTGCATCATAGAATAGAAAATTATTGAATAACTAAAAAGAAAAAATGTTCGATGTAAAATCGATTCTTATTTATTGTTATTTTGGTAATTGGTTATTTCAATTGCACTGTTTATAGAAATTACGTGATACTGCTCTAATGTAAGATGTTTAATTGAATTTTTACTTAATGTAGTCATCTCAAATGCAAAGCCAAAGAAAAATATTCAAATTTCAAAATACAATCAAATCGGTGCACGTATTATTGCAATATTAATATTCAATAAAATCACGAACAAGACTTATCCGATAAACATTCTTCAATATAAACGTAAAAACTAAACCACGTCATAAGGTTAATCGTAATTATAGCCGTGTTAATTATGGTGCTAATACTAATCGCACAGTAGATTAATAATATCAAGCAGAGACTTTCTGAAAAGTAAAAATTACTCAGTTATTAGTAATACACCTGGAACATAGTCATCAAGACAGCGGAGGATTTGAACACCTCCGTCCGGTTACTTGTACTTCCTCAATCTCATTCTTCACAGCGATGCTGTGAACTACACAGAACATCGGCGCATAAGTAGCAGCGTAATTTACCCGCCGGCATTAAACTATATTGACCCGATCGAAGCAGCCGACCCACTTACACTTGACAATAGTTTTTTTATACAGGCTGTAGTAATGTTCTTACATATTGAGACAGAGGTGTGCGATGCAGCGGCGACATCCCACGTTTGACTTTTATGCAACACCGATAAAAACCTTCCGTTTTTTTTTCACATCGCT